AGCCTCATCCTCCTCAGTCTTTAGAGTAGCAGGGATTACAGGCATGCACAACCACACTTGACTAATTTTTAAAAATATTTTTTAGGGAGGGGGGAATCTCTCTGTGTTTCCCAGGCTGGTCTTGAACTCCTGGTCTCAAACAATTCTCCCAGGTCAACTCCCAAGTAGTTACGATTACAAGCTAGACATCTGGCACTAGGAACATTCTTCACCTTGATCTGGGTGGCAGTGACATAGGTATACCCATACAAGAATGCACTGTGCTGGGCACTCACGTCTCATGCACTCTATGTGTGCCATGACACACACAAGCCTCACTATATAAAATAATCCTCTAGAACACTTCATCATTCCACTGTTGGTGGGAATATAAATTAATGCAGCCACTGTGGACAGAAATTTAGAGATTTCTCAAAGAACAGAGAATTGAACAATTTGACCCAGCCATTCCATTACTGGGTATATACCCAAAGGAAAATAAGTTGTTCTACCTAAAAGACACATGCACCCGTATGTTCATTACAGTGCTATGACAACAGCAACGACATAGAATCCACCCAGGTGCCTATCAGTGGTGGACTGGATAAAGAAATGTGGTTCATATATGCCATGGAATACTATACAGTTGTGAAAAAGAAGGAAACCACGTCCTTGGCAGTGACATGGATGCTGCCGGAGTGCATTATCCTGAGTGAACTAATACAGGAATAGAAAACCAAACACTGCATTTTGTCGTTTAGAAATCAGACTTAAACATTGGATAATTCATGTATAACTATAAAAATTAATACTTTTTACTGAAAAAAAAGTTCTGGCAAGAGAAAAAAAGGTACTACATTTCCTTAATTATTGAGTCTGACTGATTAGATGGTGATCACTTAACCCAGTAATCTCACCCCCAGGAAAGTGGAGGAAGCAACTTCCTTCCTCCCTCATATGGCAGTAGCAACTTCTCAGCCACAGAGTCCTTGTGAAGACTGACTGTGATAATAATGCATGAAAATGCAACTGACAAATGAGAACTGTGGGTTAGGAGTAGCAGCTGGTTTCACCAGCTACATGAACAGACTCCTGGGAAAAGAGCAAAACAACTCCCCCAGGAAGCTCCCTTCTCTGAGTTTTGAGCAGCCACTGCAAGATGACACACAGTCTTGCATTTGATACTATGTAGCTTTGCCTAAGATTATTTTGCAGTTCACCAAGATTCAAACTTTCTCCTGGAGCCACAGAATCTTGTACAGAGCTAAAGGTAGGAGCAGCTAAATTACACTTAACACCATAGAAAGGGTTCCAGGTCTTTGAGTTCAGAAACCCACTTAGAGCCAAGGGTCTCAGTTTAACTCTGGTTTTGAGAGAAAGATTTTTCTTTTTTTGTTTGTTAAAAAGGCCTTAAACCAACAACAGACTCTAAAGATAAAACATTCAACAATGTTAATTTTCAATGCCATGTGTTTCCCTCCAGCTGCTCAAGGTCACACCTCCCCACTGAATGATTAGAGGGTTGCTGAAATGGTACATGGGGGGAACACACACACACACACACACACACACAAACACACACTCACTCTCTCGCGCGCTCTCTTTCTCGCGCTCTCTCTCTGCCATATGAAGTCCAACCTCTAATAGAAAGAGCAACCAGTTCAGATCCCAGCCAGCCATGACAAAGGACTGACAAACCAAACAGACAGGAGCCCTTGAGCATCTGTGAAATCTGTCTGTTCCTTTGCCTCCTCCGAGAAAGGAATCACAAGACTGCTCAGAATAAGAAACCAAAAGGGCAGAGGCTCAGAAAGCAGCCGGGCCTGAATTGCATGCTGTTTCCAAACAATGAGATCTCATACTGTGTTGGTTTTCTGCACAGTGGGCAGGCAGGCTGACAGCTTGAGGGGGCTATTTTGGGGGGATATATGCTGCAAGTCTAGTTTAGAGAGGGCCCTAGGCTCTGCACTCCCAGTAGGCATTTCAGCTCCCAGGCAGAACACGTATCCCCACAGGGGTTAAGAGCCCAATGCCCGTTTGCATTTAAGTCATCCTGAGGGGATCCCACACCTCAACACTCAGGCAGAACCTAGGGGAGGTGAGAGAGGAGACAGAGGAGTGGGAGAGGGCCCTCCACCCATTACTACTGGCTGCGCTTCCAGAGAGGCTGATCCAGGAAGCTAAATACAGTGAAAAACAGAAGGAAGGGGCTGGGAAGACTAGAACAGCCTGAAGAATGGCTAGGATTTCCATCCTTAACAACAAAATTGTTGCTTTTAGGGCTGGCACAGGATCTAGCACTGCTCCCTCCCTTTCCCTCCTCCTCCTCTCAGCTGGACACCAAATATCTCCTACTGTGTGCACTCCCCTTGTGGTGGTGCTGGGGGGATGTGGCAGCTTGGAATACAACCCATAATGGTCCCCAGTGTCTACCTCCCTCACACACAGGGAATCTGGAAAGGTTTCTAGGTCATCAGAGTTATCTCTTTCTGATTAAAAAAAAAAACCCTAGCACAAGCAATACATATTTGCATACAATACCCAGTTACATACACACATCTACATACCTGCACCTTTCCACAAAATACACATTTCTGTACATACACATGTACCTAGTTTTACAGTAGGTGCAAGGCCGGCAGCCTCTATCAAATCTAGAATTCTGTGCTTTCCTCATCTGATTCCAGTAGCAAGAGCTATTTGGATTATAAATTCTCCATTATAAAGCCTGATTAGAGATCAAAATGCCACCTGCTTGCTTTCCTCCCCACCCCACTCTACCCACCCAGTGAGATTTGTTAATAAATGGGGAAACAAAGATGGAAGAGAGATCCAGGCTGCATTCTTTGCAAGAGGGGAGCACACACTTGTCGGAGCATTTTAGATACTGTGCTCCAGTAAACCCTAGCAGGCTGATCCTCTTTGCTTTCAGAGTGGCTGGGGTGCAGCTCTCAGCCTCTTAACAAACACATCTATCTTCCTCCTCATTGCTAGGCGCAAGCATTTTCTCTGACCAAACCCAGGCTTCTGCATCTATGTTCAGCCCCCATAAATCATATTCCATTGTTTTGGGGAAATCTGAATTCATGTTTAACAAGCCATAAACCTCATCTTTCCACCCCCAACCACTCCAAATTTCCCTCAGGGAGTTAAAAGGCAAGCTCCCACACATGACAGAAAAACAAAACTGGGTAAAAAAAATACCAACAAATAACCACTAATGTCTTCGTTTAAAGGGCCTGTGATTCTTCAGTCAGGTGTGAACTCAGTGGGCATCGCAGGAAGCAGAATTTGAACCTAATGTTAAATGACACATGATCTTGCTCTTCATGACCATAAGTGCTGCGGTGACTAGATTACATGGCTCTGCTGCAGAATTTCTCCCACTTCAAGGTTATTAAGAAATATAAGATTGACTTAAAATTTATTTCAATGTGCTCACCCTTCTCACACCAGCACATTCAGGATTCTTATTCGTAACTAGGCTTGACCCAGCACAAGTTCCCTATTTTGCCTTTAGACGCGGAGAGAGACCTGCTGTGCTCTCCCAGGTGGACCTGTATCTCAAACGTTCCGAGATCGAAATTACATCACAGATGCTCTCGGCATAAAGTCTGCCAAACCAGGTCCGTAGACTGGTACAGTTCTTAAAGAGCCAATATGAAAAACAGCTGTCTAGGGCTGGGTGGCTTTAATGACATCCTGGAAAATATAGCACACACACAGAGTGAATGATTTTGGAAATTCCCCAGTTCTTAACTACAACCCAAAATGCACATGCTTTAAAACACAGCTAACTGACTTCGCAAGCCCAGCTTTAGCTCCGCGCAACCACAACGCAGCCTGCCAGAGGTCTGCAGACCACTCCCTTCTGAGAGAGTCCAGCTAACCCTACCCGCCTCCCAGCAGGCTGCAGCACGATGCCCATATCCAAGTCCAGGCACCAGTTGGAGGTCCCTTGGGCCTGCCTTCCCATGTGCCGTGCTCCTGACTGGTTGAACAATATAATCAGAGAAGGCCACAGGAAAAGCCGCATCATGCCCACCGCGGCCACTCCCTGGCCTTCATCAACACCGGTTGCGCGCACTTCCACGGAAGAACATAGCATGCAGAAACACGGGCCTGCTACAGAAGGCCATGGAACAAGAAATACCAGCATGAGAGGACGGCTGGAAACGGCTGGTGTGCAGCTTTCAAAGAAGGCAGAGGCTGCGGAGCTTCTGCAGAGGAAGGAGTGATATTTTATCAGCCAACTCCCACAAAAACAGACAGTGAAGAGGAGTGGGGCAGCCGCAGCTGCCAGCATCCCAGCCACCATCTCCAGGTACTCAGGGCTTGTCTGTGACCACAGCGGTAGGCAGGACACACCTGAAAGTACCTTCTGGCGGAAAAGCAAGCACCTTAACGCTGCCGGATCGGTCCCTTCACGCCTCCCCATTCTTAACAAGAAATCTGGAATGGCGCGGTCAGGGAAAGTTTCTAGATTAGGGAGAAAACTAAGCCGTGTCGAGATGCCGCGGGTGGCCTCTTCCCAGCTCTCACTGGGCCAGCTGCTACCTGCCTCGCCCCTGTCACCTGCCGTAAGGCTCACTCTTGAGCTATCAGTGAAAAACGTCTCCCCCTGCCTCCATCAGCCACGCCGGGCTTTCAGAAACCCCCCCCTCTCCCGTCCCGCAACTAGGAAAACCTAACTTCAATGCACCCCTAAAGTCCGACCTACAGGTGTGATCGGCTTCTCGTGCAGGGGTAGGGTACTCCCACTAAGTGAAGGAAAAGGTCCCCAACGTCGTTGTCACTGGAAAAGTGCTGGCTGCGGCCTCCGCCTCGCCCTCTCCACCCACGAGTTCGGAGTCCCCAGGCGCAGTCAGAACGATCCTCGCTCCTGCAGCTTCGTTTGTTCCCGGAGAGACACGAACAAGCCAGCCCACGGAGCGTCTGGACTTGCCCGCCCCAGCACCCACGCCTCCCCCGGGCCCAGTTCCAGCGCCGCCCCCGACACCCACCCGCTGGCCGCCCCTTACCGCCGGTGTCCTCGAAGTGCGGGGGCGGGCGGTCCCGCAGCGTGGCGCTCCAGCCGGCGCCGGCCTCGTCCTCCTCCGGCTCCTGCGCGTCCGAGGCGCAGGGTGGCGGCGGGGCTGCCCCTGCGGGTCCCGGGGGCTCGCGCTCGTCGTCCGAGGAGGCGGCCGAGGAGGAGCGCGAAGCGGCCGACGTGCTGTAGAAGGGGTTCCCGCCGCTGTCCGGGCCGGACTCGCCAAACACATCGTCCGAGATGTGCAGGCTCTCGTAGCGCGCACGGGCCGCCTCGAGCAGCGCCGGCGCCCTCCTCCGCGCGCCCCCGCCGCCCTCGGCCATGGCCCCGGCCGCAGCCCGCGCGCCCGCCCCCCACAGCGCCTCCCAGCCGCACGCGCCGGGCCCCGGGCCCGCGCCGCGGCCCGCCGACCCCCACCAGCGCAGCCCGCAGCACAGCGCCCGCCGCCCCGCGCCCGGCCGGCCTGCCGTCTTGGCCGCCTCGGGCCCAGCGCCCGGGGAAGCGCCCTCGGAGGTCGGGCACCGCAGGCTGCGGGCCGCGGCGGGAGGCAAGCCGCGCGCGGGGGTGGCAAGGACGACCCAGCGCGGGCGGGACGCAGAGGCTGCGGCTGAGACCAGGCGCTGCCGCCGCTGCGTCTCCTCGGCGCTCGCCGCCTCCCTGCGCACCCTCCCCGCGGCCCACGGCACTCGGCAGCCGACCTTCCCCGGCGCGAGCCGCCAGAGGCGGACCCCGCCTCCTCGCACCTCCAGCCCGCCGGCCAATGGGGAGCGCGGCCCGGACGGCCGCGGGGGAGCTGGGCGGGCCCGGCGCGTTAACGCCCCCACCCTCCTCGGAGGGGCGGGGCGGGGCGGGGCGCGCGGCCGGGGCTGGCGGGAAGGGGGAGGGCCGCCGGCGGCCTGACCGTTCTCCTCCTGCAGGGACGCGCAGCCGGGACCGCCACGCGCAGTGCGGGGTTAGGAGGGCGGGGCCAGGGGACAAGAAGGGAGGCGCCCGGACGCTTTCAACGGTCCAGGTCTGCGGATGGAGCGCGGACCTACCCCCTCACTGTCCCCTTCCGCAGTCAGCGCCAGGCGCCAGGGAGCTGTCCGCCCCGGTGGTTCTGAACCAGGCGCTGCTGAAACGCTCCAGGTAGGCTGCGGGCCCGAGGTCACCACTTCTGCGGCGGCTGCTGCCGATGCTTTCCGTGGGTCACTGCCACCTGCTCCGCATGCTCCCATAAATACAGGGGCTGTCCAGCTTCCGGGAATCTCGTTCTAATTAGGAGCCGGCCTTGCGGATCCACTGCTGAGGTCGGATGCTAACTCCGTCTCGCTTCAGTATCCCTGTAATTTAAGGGTGCCAGCACTGGAGTTAAGTAGGTAGTAATTCGTCATCATCTTTGACGTGTGGCATCTTTTGAACTCAAAATATCCATTACTTCCAAATATCGATTACTCTCACACCTCTATTTGAACATCTCCTTCACACACACTTGAAACACTCATCTAGTAAAATATTGTGTGATCACCCAGGCTTCAGTGCTCTCATAAACAATAGCATCGAAAGGTTGCATCCGCCCCTCTTCCTTGGGCAGGAATGTGTGGTGGTCATCCTGTTGATGGCGATACACGTAATGGAGATTGCCTTGTCTTCTTGCTCTCCTCCTCCTCCCTCGAATAATGCAATAAGTCACGCTAATGGTAAATGGGCCATAAAGTCACTTTCACTCTGCAATAAAATAAATCCTCGAAGATGTGAAGGGCTTACAAATCCTAATGGGCATTAACTAAATTATAGTTACACAAAACAGAAAGGCATGTTGTGATTTCTACGAATGCATAACGGATGAAGGACCGTTTTGCCGCCAAGTGGGGTCAGACCTAGTGTCGAGCAGGAACCTTCACTCATGCCCTCGCCTCCCCAGCCCCTGTGGTTCCTCCTTCCAAATCAGGGGCTCTGCACAGGCATGGATTCATGATAATCACTAACAGACACTATATAAAAAGGAAAGGATTCATGGAACATTGCTTGCTATGTGGATTGGATGAAAAACGAGGAAGTGCTTGCAAAGCATTTCGACTTCCTTGAAGAATTATGCCACAAAAAATATCTGGTTTCCAACATACCTATATACTGTGGTAACCAGCTGAAAGATTTTGAAGAGGTTACAGGTCATCAGACTTATCAAAAAGGGTTATAGTAAAGCACATGTTGAAGATGCAAGAAGCAGAATAAGACTCCATAGCTCAAAAGTCTGGAATTAGGAATTGTGTGAGACTCCTACAAGATTTCATGTTATCTATTTAAAATAGTTGAATGAAAAAAATAATTGAATGGGATCCAGAGAGTTAAAATCTGTTGGAAAGAGTTCCTTCTTTCCTTTTCCAGCTAGCCAATGAAAAAGTCAACAGCTAAGGTGTGTGTTTTAAAAACAATGAATTGCTTTGCTACCCATAAGGAAGGAAGGAACAAAGCAACAGCAGTTACAAGGATCTACGAAGTCTTCTAGTGTCCCTAATTTGCATTTGCATGGTGCTAATCCCCAGGAAATCTTGGGGACCTGTGATTCCTAGGCTCACAAATGCTTGTAGCTCACACCTCATGCAACATTGAGGAGAGTTGGTCACAAAAGAAACACTGAGAAATCAAATTGTTATTTCAAAGCTTGTCCAATAAAAATTAGATGAATGTTTTAACTTCGAGTGAAGTGTTTAGTATGTTACTGTGTTTAAGCCAGTGTTTCCAAACAAGAAAACAATATTCCAACCTTTGAAAACAGGTGACTGCTTCTCACTGTGGTGAGGGGACAAAAAAATTGAAAAACAAAAACTTTCTCCTCTGGCTGGCATCCTCCTACTTGATAATTATGTTATGATTCTACATCATTAACTTTTATTAGAAACATTATTTGTGAGAATAATTATAGTATCAATATCATGCTGAGAACGTTTAACTTTGAGTCATTTGAAAACATCTTCCAAATAATTATGGAATATAATTAAATAATTATAGATGAATACTGAGCTTTTGGTTTTATGGTTTTCCCAAAGAGCTCAAGGTAGTAAAAAGCAATTCATTTGTGTAGTAGAGTCCTTAGGTTTTGTTAAACCAATGGTTCATGCTTTTATGTAACTAGGGCTAATCACCATATTTCATTAAGTTTAAATAAACTTCCTTTCACAGCACAGTGCGCCATTGTTTTATGTATCACTAAAAAACAAAAAAGTGCTGCCATAGGAAACTATGATACAATGGTTTCTGTTCTAATTTTAATTTAAACTTATTGATAAAGCTATTTCATAATAATAGTTGGACAGGTTTTTGTTATATATCACTCTAATGCATGCATAAAGATAAAATATAAATTAACTGGTGAAAGTTTCCCTAATTTCACATTCAGAATCTTTCTATCCTTGCTTACTTTCTAACTCAGAGTTGTCAATGCCCAGGTTTTCTCCACAACATGCTCCTCCAAGTCACTCAGAGCATTTGGTATGCTGCATTTCTTTTTCTTTTTCTTTTTGGAGATGGAGTTTCACTCTTGTTACCCAGGATAAAGTGCAATGGCGCAATCTTGGCCCACCGCAACCTCCGCCTCCTGGGTTCAGGCAATTCTCCTCCCTGAGCCTCCTGAGTAGCTGAGATTTCAGGCAGCGCCACCATGCCCAGCTAATTTTTTGTATTTTTTCTTTTCTTGAGAGATCTCGGCTCACCACAGTCTCCACCTCCTGGGTTCGGGCAATTCTCCTGCCTCAGCCTCCTGAGTAGCTGGGATTACAGGCACGCGCCACCATGCCCAGCTAATTTTTTGTATCTTTAGTAGAAACGGGGTTTCACCATGTTGACCAGGATTGTCTCGATCTCTTGATCTCTTGATCCACTCGCCTTGGCCTCCTAAAGTGCTGGGATTACAGGCTTGAGTCACCATGCCCTGCTGGTATGCTGCATTTCTTATATAAGTGCTCCTAACTCCTCCAAGCTACTGGCTTCCCATTCTATGTGTCCCCAAAGCAGGAGCACAGCAGCTGTGGTCAGTCAGCACTGAGGAGGCAGATGAGATAGCTGAGAGAGAAGTGGTAGCAGATGAAATCAAAGAGGAAGTTGGGTGGGTGTTAAATCTTGCAAGACTTTGAATTTTATTTGGGGTGATATGGGGAGCCACTGGAGAGCATAGAGCAGAGAAATAAGATCTTGATGCTGGTGTTTTGTTTGTTTTGTTTTGTTTTCCCTAATCCAAGGTTTTCATACTATAACTAGATTTAATTTCCTCCTTCAGTGGTTCTCAGAAGGCCTGTGGCCTGGCACAGCAAGGGATATATGAGGTCAGGCACACCCTAGGAATAGCAATGAAGTCAGCATACACTCAGTCTCTGTTAAGTGCATAGGGATTTTCACTTTCCCAGCACAGACTATAAGACATTTCTGATGTTAGAGATGTAAAATGTGAAAAAAAGGAAGAGGGCATCTTAGAAGCCATAGAATACAGTATATATTTTTCCTTGGTAGTTTTACAAGTCTTGATTTTGCAAATAGTCAAGCTGTTGCAGGACACAGAAATCAACATGAATGCTAATGTGCAGAGAGTGCCTTGGCCAGCCCCAGACTGCACAGGCCAGATGAGGCTTGGGAAGTCTGTATGTTGCAGGTCACTATAGATGGAGAAGGCAGGGATGGAGTTAGTGAAGCTGCTGCTTCTCCTCATGTGCTCTTCGTCACACAAAAGGAGGGGGCTACAACCAAGGAGAAGCTCCTGGGACTGAGAGGGTAGGGGGAGAAAGAGTACAGCTGCTGGATGGTGGGCCACATGTGGGGAAGGAGGTCACAGGAGAATATGCTGGCACAGGGTGACATTTGGGGTCATATCTAGCACAGGGACCTAAGGGTCCAACCTCTCTCACAGTGCTTTTATGTGTAAATTTATCCAGGATCCAACACAGAGAGGCAGAAAGAAGGAAATAGGACAATCCTGTGGAAGACTCTCGAGAAAATTCCCTTGGGTTCAGATTGAGAGATCTAACTTTGTTATTGACTCATTCATTTATTCACTCACTAATTCAACAAATAAGTATTGAGTCCTATCATGTGACAGGTTCTCTTCTAGGCACTGAGAATAAATCAGAGAAAAAGAATGAAGACTCTGTTTCTGTAGCACTTATGTTCAAATGGGGAGGGAGGGAAGAGACAAAAAATATACCACCCAGTAAATATGTATATACCTGTTGTTGATAAGGGATAAAAAGTAGAGGGACAGAGACTGATGGTTGTTGTGATTGTGGTGGTGTCTGTGTGTGTGTGTGCACGCACAAGCTTGTATACATTGGTTGGGAGAAGTTGCTCTGATAAGGTGACATTTGGGAGAACCTTGAATGGATTAAAGAAGCAAGCCATATGCATTCAAGGACCAGAAAAAAGTGCGAAGCACCCAAAGCAGGAGCACGCTAGCTGTGGTCAGTCAGCACTGAGGAGGTAGATGTGGTTGAGACAGAGATGAGAGAGAAATGGCAGCAGATGAAATAAAAAATGTGGGTGTTAAATCTTGCAAGACTTCAGATTTTATTTTGGGTGAAATGGGTAGCCACTGGAGAGCACAAAGCAGAGAAGTAAGATCTGACTTGCACTCTAAGGGCCTCACGTTAGCTGCTTAGAGGCAAGTAGACTGGAGCAGAGGAAAAGGGGAATCAGGAAGACCAGTTAGGATACTATTGCAGTAGTCCAGCCATAAAACAGGGTGTTTGGGACCAGACTGGTAGTGAAGAAAGTGATGAGAATTGGTCAGATCAGAATATGTCTTGAAGGTAGAACACACAACTTTTATGAAAGAATTAAATGTGAATGGTGAAGAAAGACATGAGTTGAGAAGGACTCCATGGTTTGGGCTTTGCTGTCGTTGTTTGCGTGAACTACTGCAAGAGCAGCAGGATTAAAGGGGAGGAACAACAGCTTGGTTTTCAGCATGTAGAGTTTTACACATCTGAGTGGGTCTGGAAAGCAGGTAGTTGAAAACAGGAACCTAGCGTTCAACCAGGTCTAGGCTGGAGATAAAATTGTGAGTGCCATCAGCAGAGAGATGGTAGATACATCTTGTTTGTTGTTATTGTTGTTGTTGTTTTGAGACAGTCTCACCCTGTCGCCCAGGCTGGAGTGCAGTG